GCTGCCTCCGCCCTGGAGCACAGCGAGGAGGACGGCTCCATCTACGAGATGGCTGACGACCCTGACGTCTGGGTGCGCAGTCGGCCCTGCGCCCGCGATGCCCACCGCAAGGAGATCTGCTCCGTGGCCATCATCTCCGGCGGGCTGGGCTACCGGAACTTCGGCAGCGCCTCGGGTGTGGGCGGGAGGCCGGCCTCCTGCGGGGAGATGGACAGCACCCTCCTCATTTGGCAGGTGCCCTTGTTGACGCTATAGCCCCCACCCAGGGAGCACAGCTGCAGCCGTGCCCCGCTCTCAGCCTGCGTGGGATCTTCAGCCAGCCAGGGCCCCGGGAATGTGGGTGGAATCGCCTTCCAGGGACCTGCCCAGGGCTGTGTGGAGGGGCCTGGGTCTCTAGTAACAACCCCAGGTAGACAGGCCTGAGACTCTAGTAACTACCCAGGTGGAGGGGCCTGGGTCTGTAGTTACTACCCCAGGTGGATGGGCCTGGGTCTGTAGTTACTACCCCAGGGGTACAGGCCTGGGTCTCTAATAACTACCCAGGTGGACGGGCCTGGGTCTCTAGTAACTACCCCAGGGGGACGGGCCTGGGTCTCTAGTAACTACCCAGGGGGACGGGCCTGGGTCTCCTAGTAACTCCAGGGGGAGGGGCGGCCTGGGTCAGTAACTACCCAGGAGGAGAGGCCTGGGTCTGTAATAACTACCCAGGTGGATGGGCCTGGGTCTGTAGTAACTACCCAGGGGGACAGGCCTGGGTCTGTAGTTACTACCCAGGGGGACAGGCCTGGGTCTGTAGTAACTACCCCAGGTGGACGGTCCTGGGTCTCTAGTAACTACCCAGGTGGACAGGCCTGGGTCTCTAATAACTACCCAGGTGGAGGGGCCTGGGTCTGTAGTAGTTACTACCCCAGGTGGACAGGCCTGGGTCTCTAGTAACTACCCCAAGTGGATGGGCCTGGGTCTCTAGTAACTAGCCAGGTGGACGGGCCTGAGTCTCTAGTAACTACCCCAGGGGGACGGGCCTGGGTCTCTAATAACTAGCCAGGTGGAGGGGCCTGTGTCTGTAGTTACTACCCAGGGGGACAGGCCTGGATCTCTAATAACTACCCCAGGGGGACGGGCCTGGGTCTCTAGTAACTTCCCCAGGGGGACGGGCCTGGGTCTCTAGTAACTTCCCCAGGGGGACGGGCCTGGGTCTCTAGTAACTTCCCCAGGGGGACGGGCCTGGGTCTCTAGTAACTTCCCCAGGGGGACGGGCCTGGGTCTCTAGTAACTTCCCCAGGGGGACGGGCCTGGGTCTCTAGTAACTTCCCCAGGGGGACGGGCCTGGGTCTCTAGTAACTTCCCCAGGGGGACGGGCCTGGGTCTCTAGTAACTTCCCCAGGGGGACGGGCCTGGGTCTCTAGTAACTTCCCCAGGGGGACGGGCCTGGGTCTCTAGTAACTACCCAGGTGGAGGGGCCTGAGTCTCTAGTTACTATCCGAGGCGGAGGGGCCTGGGTCTCTAATAACTAGCCAGGTGGACGGGCCTGGGTCTCTAATAACTACCCAGGGGGACGGGCCTGGGTCTCTAGTAACTACCCTAGGGGGAGGGGCCTAGGTCTCTAGTTACTGCCCCTGGTGGACAGGCCTGGGTCTCTAGTAACTACCCCAGGGGCACGGGCCTGGTTCTCTAGTAACTACCCCAGGTGGATGGGCCTGGGTCTCTAGTAACTACCCAGGGGGACGGGCCTGAGTCTCTAGTTACTATCCGAGGCGGAGGGGCCTGGGTCTCTAATAACTAGCCAGGGGGACGGGCCTGGGGCTCTAATAACTACCCAGGGGGACGGGCCTGGGTCTCTAGTAACTACCCTAGGGGGAGGGGCCTAGGTCTCTAGTTACTGCCCCTGGTGGACAGGCCTGGGTCTCTAGTAACTACCCCAGGGGCACGGGCCTGGTTCTCTAGTAACTACCCCAGGTGGATGGGCCTGGGTCTCTAGTAACTACCCAGGGGGACGGGCCTGAGTCTCTAGTTACTATCCGAGGCGGAGGGGCCTGGGTCTCTAATAACTAGCCAGGGGGACGGGCCTGGGGCTCTAATAACTACCCAGGGGGACGGGCCTGGGTCTCTAGTAACTACCCCAGGGGCACGGGCCTGGTTCTCTAGTAACTACCCAGGGGGACGGGCCTGAGTCTCTAGTTACTATCCGAGGTGGAGGGGCCTGGGTCTCTAGTTACTACCCATGTGGACAGGCTGGGTCTCTAGTAACCACCCAGGTGGACAGGCCTGATCTCTAGTAACTGTCTTGGCTGAGCAGAGGAAGACCTCTTCCTTTTAAAACAAGATAAAATTTAGAGTTTGGGGGAGGGGCTTGGGTTTGTGGAGAGGGAAGAATCCTCTGGAGGAAATGGCTTTTTTAAAAAAACAAAACACAAAACCTCACAACTGCCTGACAAGCCCAGCGCCTCTTGTCCGGGCCGAGCGGGGCTCAGAGGCGGCCCGCGCCCCTCCTGGAAGGGCGTGAGCGTGTGCGTGTATGAGAGCGTGTGGGCTGGTGTGTGAATATATATAAATACGTATATATGGTGTATATTATCTGTGTATAAATAAAGTCTGTACATATTGGAGCTCTGGGAGATGCTGGAATAAAAGGCGAGAATAACATCGGTGCTTGGATTGGGGGGTTTTTCTTTTTGAGATGGGACACGGGGAGAGACCGAGCAGCTGCCTCTGGGTGGGGAGTGTTCGGGAGCCAGAGTGACGCCACCCTGGGCAGGAGTGGTCGAGGCCCGGCACCCGAAGACCTGCCACAAGAGCAGCCCCAGGACTCTGCCGTTCTGTGTGGTCACCATTGGTCACCGATGGTTACTTAATTTTTAAAATTAATTACAACTAAATTAAATGACAAATTCAGTTTCTCATCCCATTAGCTTGCAGAGCCCCACAGGTGAGTGCTGGCTGTCGGACAAGGAGGTGGACAGGCCTGGGTCTCTAGTATCCTTTTCCACCATCCTGGAAAGTTCCCTTCTGCTCGAGAAGGGGCTCTTGGGAGCTTCTTTTCTGAATATCTATAATAATAAAAGGGTAATATGCTAATTAGACCAGACGTCCTTCCTTCCAGACAAAGTCGCAGTGGGCTGGGGCCGAGGCAGAGGTAGCAGAGGCCCTCGGCCGTGGTGGTGGTGGTGGTGGTGGTGGTGGTGGGCAGGGGCCGGAGCCAAGGCCCTTGCATGAATTTTGTGCACTGGGCCTCTAGTATATATATAAATGGCTAATATGCAAAGTGCCCCCTCGGGAGTTCCACCAGGAGACCTGGAGTCCGATCGCTCGCTATGACATGCGCTGACCACCAGGGGGTGGCGTGGAATGAAGGAAGGCCCCGGCCGGCAGCTGGCAGCCAGGGAAGGGAGGCCTCAGCGGCTAGCTGGAAGGCCCCAATCAGCTCTGATCGCTGGCCAGGCCTAGGGACCCTACCCATGCACGAATTTCGTGCATCAGGCCTCTAGTGTTTTGATAAAAAGGCTGGGCCCCAGCTCTGGAGGGTATGGAAACAGGACACCTTGGCTCTGCCAACCTGGGAAGGAAGGAAGCTGGGGCTTCACCACATGGAAGGTGGGGTCTGGGTTGTTGCTATGGGCAACAGCAAGGCAAGGATGGGGCTGAGGTCCCTGAGTCTGAGGGAAGATGGGGTGAGTGCTGGTGGTGGGAGCAGAGCCCAGGCTATGGGGGAATTGGCAGGTGGGGCTGCCCAGGGTCCTGGATTCCTTCTGGCTCGATCTCCATCCTTATATCCCTAGAGCTGCCTTCACAGAACAAAACAAAACCCAAACCCCCCGCCCAAAAGGGAAGTGTTTCCTCCACCTTCCCACCCAGCCATCTCTCTGTCATCTGTCCGAGTGTCTGTCCACCCACCCATCCGAATGTTCTCTCTTCCACACTCACCAAGAGCGGCAGCCCCAGGACAAGGGAGAAGGAAAGCAGGGCCCAGTGGAGATGGGAGGCACACCTCTCACCTGGACCCTCCGAGAAGCTCGAAGCTCTGGGAACCCAGCGAAAAGAGCCAGCGCGGAGAGGATGTTTCCACCGGGTCCTCACCACCTGGTGGGGCCGCACTCCCTGGAGGAGCCAGTCTCACATCCACATCTTTCAGAAACCCCTCGAGCTTCTGCTGGATTCAGGCACCGTGCTGGCTGCTGGGGCTGTGGAGGTGAGCAGGGCAGTGGCATCCCTGCCCCTAGGAAGTGCATGGTTGGAGGGCAGGGCAGGCATAGGTGCCAGCAGGTGTGGGCTTGGGGTCGGGGAGGGTGTGCCGAGAAAGGGGGAGGGCCTCTGGCAGGGGGCGGCCTATGGAAGACGGGTTGTGTAGCGTGTCGTGGTTGGCTCGATTGCCAGAAGGCCAGGAGGGGATGGGGGAGCTGTGTATGCAGGAACCATGGCCGTGGGCACTGACCAACGACATTCCGTTCCCGCTGAGCCCATCTCCGGGCCTCAGTTTCCCAACTTGTATGAAAGGGAGACTCACTGCTGTCCTGCCCACCTCCACTGGGAGAGGAGTGTCCTAAGTATGAGTGGGACAAAGTGCACGGTGCTCAGGTTAGTTACCAAGTGCCTGCAGGGTGGGGCTCCCATGGGTGCCTTTATCCCGTTCGTCAAATGCCGGTCAAGACTTTTCCCAGGACAGTGACGAGTGAGCAGAGGCCGCTTGGGACGGTGAGCAAGCCTGAAGTCTAGGATGCGGCAGGCCTGCGTTCAAGGACAGCCCCGCCAAGGACCTGCGCGTGCTCCCAGCCTCGGTTTCCTCATCCCTAAAACGGGGACCACGACCGGCACCTTGCACGATGGCTGTGGACCAGTGGTGACAAGCCCACGGGAAGGGCCTGGAGCAGTCCTCCGGCGGCGGCGGCGTTGTGATTATTCCTGACGTCACCGCAGCCGCCTGGCTGCGCACTCTCGGAGGCAGACTGCTTTTGCTAAGACATCCCCCCGTTTGCACAGGAGTTGGCGTCTGAGAGCTCTGTGGGTCTGTTAGATCCTGGATCTGTGGATCTAATGGGCTGGTGACATTCATCACCGAGACAATGAGGACTTTGCTACTCTAGTGAAATGATCAGATCAGGCAACACCCATTTCCGAGTCTCTGACAACAGCAAGGGAGGATGGGGGTGTCGGAAACGACTCCAAGACGTGCGGCGGATGAGCCTTGCATCTGAGAGGGGCCCTCGCTTTAGATGGGGATCAGAGTAACAATAACCATGGCACCTGGGCCTGCCAGCTCATTTCACCCCCTCGGCCACTCCCCTTGCCTCATTCTGCAGGCGAGGGACCTGAGGCTCAGGGAGGGTAAGTAAATGCCCGAGGAAGTGTCAGGGCCAAGACCGAGGTCTGTCTGCCACCACAGCCAGACTTTTAGCCACCAGGTGACTCCCCCTCCAAGAGCAAATCATCCCACTAGACAACTGAACACCTTTGCTGGCCTGACACGAGGCTCAAGTCACTGGGGATATAACGTTGTCCCTGTGCTCCTCGCGAGACCCACAGTCCAGCCAGCAGGATGCTGCTGCCAGGGAGATGCAACCAAGGCAGGCTTCCTGGAGGCAGTGAGGAGTGGTGCACAAATGAGGGCTTTGGAGTGATGCAGATTTGGGTCTGAATCTTGGCTCTATCACGTATTTCCTGTGTGGCCTGAGACATGTGATAATCTGTGCTGCCATGGCCTCCGCTGAATAAATGGTCCATGACACCTTCCTTGCGGGGTGGCCGTGAGCTCCCAGGAGGTGTTAGGAGTTCGCTGTTACTATTACTGCTACGGCCCCTCATCCTGCTGCTATTCCTATCAGCATCATTTCAGTGAATTCTCAAAATTAACCAGAACGTGGAGGCTGCGAGGATGCAGTAACCCGGGAGGGGGACGAGGACAGGGTGGGGGGCCTGCGGTTCTGGGGAGGTCTGGTTCTGGAAGGGACTGGGCTGGAGGTGGGGGTTGGGATTGTGTTCTGGCCCGAGCTGTCTTGGTCTGTTTTTAAACCCTGAGCCTAGGAAGAGACCCCAGCTGGCTCTCCCTGGAGCCAGAACCATGACAGGCTCCTGGGCACAGGCCTCCGGCCCTGTCAGAGGGGAACCAGCCCTCCTGCCACCAGCATGTTTGGTGTGACTCTGTGAAAGCCCAGGACACACACAGAGTAGCCCAGGCACTGCCTGTTCTGTGGGGGTGACCGAGACTCCAAAGCCTGCTTTCTCATGGGCATGTGTGTCCATGAGGGGCGTGGTCACATGGGGATGGAGTGTGAGCTTCAGCCACCGAACATGGGGATGCCAACAGCACTGACCCAACCGGTCCGATGGGGGAGACAGAGCCACCCACGGGGCACATTCCCAGTCTGATGGGAGAGGTCCTTGCTCTCAGGAAGCTCCCAGGTTGATGGAGGACTCAAGCCCCTCTCGCCTGGTTGGACGGGGAAGCTGCCAGTCTGATGGGGAGGCATGGCTCTGCCCCTGCCTGATGGGGGAGACCTAGCCTAACGCTCAGGCTCACCTGCCCGTGGGATGGGGAAGATACAGTTTCTGCCTGGGAGGAGACCCTAGCCTGACGGTGGAGACCCCCGGGGTGAAGTGGGGGATAAATCCTTGGCTCTCAGGGCGCTCCCCGTCTGACAGGGGAGATGGGGCCCTCAACGTGAAGAGACTTCATAATAAGACACACGACAGAAACTTTTAAACGATGCAGACCTATTTCCAGCGCTGCCGAACTACTCCAAACTCCTCATTTACACTTTCCTGGAACCTGCAAATAGCAAGAATGTGTAAATTGAGGAAAATTAATATAATTACCGGAGCTATTTCTTGTCATCTCTTCACGTCAACAGAAGCCACAAACCTTTCCTGGTGAGAAGCGGGTGGTTATGGGCTCTGTCCCCGATGAGACAGCTGGCTCCTTCTCTGCAGGGAGCAGATTCCGACGGGTGCCCCGTGAGCTCTGGAAGCTGGCCTGCCTGACAGATGGGCCGGGCTGCGTGCGTGGTGGAGAGGGCGCCTGGGCCCTGAGTCAGGAGACGTGGCTCGAGGTTTGGCAGCAAGGTGAAGGTGACCCACAGGTCCCTAAGCCTCTGTGAACCCCAATCTTGCCTAACACTAGTCCAAGCGTGCTGAAGTCTTGCTGGGTCCAGGGACTGTCTGTGGTTAGAGTATTATGTCCCTGACCGCCATGAACTGTCACACCCATCCCCAGAGGAAGTTCTATTATTATCCCCACTTTACAGATGAGGAAATTGAGGCTCAGGGAGGCGAAGTCACTTGCTCAGTGTCACACAGCACAGAAGACCCCAGGGCTGTGGGTCTCAACACTGCTACCCCTTCCTTGGCCCATTTCCCGGACCCGCCCCTCCACTCTGCCACCCAAGGGTCCTGTGTGAGGACCGGTGCTCAAACAAACCACAGAATGTTTGCAAACCGTGAGCATCGGTCTCCTCTTCTGGAACTTGGGGATATTAACAGCATTGACTGCCTGGGCTATTTTGAGGATGAAATGAGTTAATTTATGTTAAATAGTCAGAGCCGTTCCTGGCCCATAGGGAGCCCTCATTAACTTGATTATCATCTCGTGCAGGAGCCCTGCCCGGGTCTGTGCTGGGGATGCTCCTCGGTAGAGCGTTAAACGCCCAGGCGTGCCC